AAAAACACCCGCGCCCTGTCCCCCCCCCCCCCCCTTCCGATGTAAAGTAAAGCTATGCTTGGTCAATGGTTTTCTGTTTGAAGCAGTAACTTTTTTTTTTTTAAATAATCTGTGTAAGGAAACGACTGCAAATCCATCAGCATCCCGCTGCTTCACTGAGTTCGGCTTGGAAAAAAAGAAGAGCGCCAACCCACGCCCTCAGCCAGTCCCCCCCTCCTCCCCCAGCCCGCTGTCTCACCCTGGCAGATGAATTAGGAGCCAAAAGCGCATTTTGTAATTGTACATGACGCATTTCATTTCGATTAGGAGTTCCTTCATTGCAAAACGCGTTTGCTTTTATACTGTGTCTGTGTGCATATCTATGTTACATCTATCTATCTATATACTAATAAATATATATATGGCCTGTTTTAAAGTGCCAATTTATAAAAAGCTGCCTCCTTAAAGGGCAGTCAAGACCCAATTTCATCCATGACAAGAAGGGAGCAGAATTGACTGAATATTGCCAAATGACGTAAAACATAATTTAAAATTTCTTAAATAAATATAAAAGTTATTCCTAAAGAAGCCATAGGCATGTCAACAATATAGGGTGTAACCAGCGCTCAACAGCTAAAGTACCATTGAAAAACTAAAATGCCATAGCAACTTCAGCAATAGGCATGATACATTGCAAACTTTTTTTTTTTTTAAATTAAATGTACACCACAATGAACTTAAAAAACGCTATTGGTGCAGTAATGAGAAGACTTCTCAGGTGTTACAGGGAACGGGACCATGCATAGAAAGCTGTGTCTGTATATTGGTTGTAAAACAGGTCTATAAAGTGTAAAGCAGGTAACACAGTTGATACAAGAAACCAACCCTATATGAGATGCCAAGTGATGTAACGCGACTGGCTCCAGTTTGAACAGCAATGGATATTAAAGCAAGTCCATCCAGTGCAGGTAAGAGATGAGCTTCACTGCAGTAATACTGAAGTTGCCTTTTTCAGCACTTAGCACAGTGAGGTGGGGAGAGGGAAGGAGAAATGCTCCAAGAAAGGGCGAGTGGACGCTGCCGACACCAGTCTTCCACCCGCTCCGCACGTACGCCCGCCGGTCAGGAAGATTGCCGCGAGAGGTTGGCTCTCGGTGGGCAACAACGGGCACGTTCCCCCTGAAAACCATTCCCAGGAGCTTCGGGTGAGGAAGTGCTGATCGGCCGCCGTGTTAAGGCGCTCCACGTCACGCGGGATGGATGCCCCGGCAAGGGGACGCAGGCGGGCTCGGGGGCACCCGCTGGGCGCCGGAGCGGGGAGGCTGCAGCCGCGGTGGTGCTCGGGACCTCTTCGGGTGAAGTTCCACAACTGTTTCCTGCCAACTGCTTCACATACGTGTTGGAAAAGGACATGGCTCTAAGTTTCAGGAATCACAGTAGTGCGCAGTGGGTACAGCAGGGAGCAAACACTTGTGAAACTCCTGCAGAAGCAGCTCCCAGCCCTTTCTTAAAGCACTTTTTTGTTTGCATTCAGGGAAACCAACTGCAGGCTTATTTGATCCAATTTTCTCTTTGCACCATACACATATAAAACATTACAACTCTGTATAAAAGTACAAGTGGTTCTTGTACATCTGAATTATGCAGGAACTATGTGAGCAAATCCTATCAAAATAGCTATTTTTTTTTGTGTGTATAAACAGCATTTGTTTTTAGAAAAAACAATATCATAAACTGCAGAATCTGTACAAAAATATAAAATAAATTTGGGCAGCAGTTTCTAAACAGCCATGTAAATGCAACACTTAAAGAGGAGCAGGTTAATGCCTCCAAAAGGCTGAATTGCTAAGTCAACCTATACAGGGCTAAAATGGTATTGAGATTATCTAAATAATAAAATTTTTTACCTCTTGCAATAAAACTTATAGAAAAAATAGACAAATATGCACATGCAATTTACAGCTTTCCCCAACATAATCCTTGTGCTTAGCTTTTACAATTTTTTTCTTTTTTTCTTTTTTTTTTTTTTTGTAATAACATAACATTGTCTACAATACATATTCTTTCCTATACCAGGATATTCGGTCTTCCTTGAGGAACCACTTTAAAAAAAATACATTAGAAGTGGTCATACATGGATGAAGGCACTCCAACTCTGCTTGAAGCAAAAACTAGTGTGATCCTTTTCTTTTCAAAAAAGGCAAGCAAGGACGCATGCACAGTGCTGTGAATCGGGGGTGGGAGGGACTATGGAAATACTACCAAGTGTATATACTGGAACTTAAAATTAAAAAAAAAAAAAAAAAAAGTTGCTATATTTCTATATTTTAAGACCCAACAAGCACCTCCATGATGTGATCGAGTTCTGTGAGGTCCATTTTGAAAGGCTGATTTGGAGTTACTGGTTGACTGCTGTACGGAGCGAGAGTTTTTAGGAGCTCATCTGCTGAGACAGGAGCCATTTTTGAGGCAGCCCCTGTGGCAGACGTGCAGGGGTCAAAATCATACATGGACGTATCAATGTCAGCGAACAGAATATCATCCAGGGTCAAGTCTGTGAGGAAACCTGTGGAAGTCGTTATCTCAAAGTTGCCAGGTAGCGAGTCCATGAGTTTTGATTCGGCCGTTCTGCTCTCCGGGAGGCCCTCGGGCTTTTGAACGTTGGACTCACTGGGGTGGTCTTTAGAGTCATCGGCTGCTGTTTCAGCTGCTACTGCCTCTGCGGAGGTAGGTGCTGGACAAAGCTCCTCGATTTCGTCCAAGGCTGAAGAGAAGCTGTCCTTTACTGGTTGGAGAGCAGGAGGTGGTGGTTTTGTTGGACCATCGTGCTGGACAGTCGGGGAAGTGCAAAAAGTGTCGTCCTCGAGCAAAGAGGCTGGGGTGAGGCAAGACTCCAGGGGCGTAGTGCTTACGAAGTCAGTGGGGAGAAGGGGCTGGGAGGCGAGATGGCTGAACGCCGGCTGGGCCTCGCGGAAGTTGTCGCTGAGAGGGTCGGTGGGCTGCGAAGCGGTCACAAACACGGGCCTCAAGCTGCCTTCTTGTTTGAGTTCTTCCTGGATTCGCCTCAACATGTTGTTAATTAAAACTGTCTTTTGCAAGCTTGGCTCGGTTAATGGCCTGTGGTTATAAAGTTTCATAAGGGAAATGTTGAAGATAGTCTGACGCTGTAAGGTGTAAGACACCTTAGAGGGACCGTCAGTAGGAGACACCACTTTGCCTTCCAACCCATCTTCATGCTCGTCAAACTTCCGCTTTCCTCCTTTCCCCAACATATATCTGAAAGGAAAGAGAAGAGATCGATGAAGCCAGCAAAGCCTGAAGCCTGTTCTTCCCGCCTGAATCACTACCCCAGTCCACCTACTCCCTTGCACACGCGGTGTGGACAGATTGGCCGCTCTGTCCCCTCCTCACTTACCCCTAACAGCCACAAGTGGAAATCTGTCCACATAAATAACTCGCTCTTGGCCCACAGCAGCATGATGAGGAAGCAGAAGCCACCTTAACGCAGTGCTCTGGTCCATCATGTTTAAGCACGGCTACGCTGGTAAATTCCAAGCAGGAATTCAAACAGCATCTATAAAACTCAAGCCCTTGCGCACTTGGCAGCAAATTTCACTCTTGCATATGTTAAGCATATGGTCCCCAAATATCTGTACATAGGTGTACAAGCTGCAGATACTATATTGAACGTTCCTTTACATTTCCTGACTGATGCAGTACTATGCCTGGGAATACAAATGTAATACACTGGGGTTCTTAAAATGAATTTCCCTTTTTATTCTATTTTTACAAGAGTGTGTTCACGGGGGGGGGGAGGGGAGCGAGGCTCAAGCAATTGTATACTGAGAGAAACCTTCCCGGTGAAGTTGGGAGATTCAACCCTTTGGCACACCAGGATACATGCATATCTGACCTCATGGGTTTATTTAACTCATTGCATAAGGACTAAACTACTATAGCAGGAAATGCAGCTATTACACTCAGGATTTGATAAATTACAGATGAAGAAGAAGATCTGTCAGGTCTTTTAGTCTAAACCCCCAAGACCATTCTCTGCACTACACTCTGCTGCTGCAGCCAGGGCCTTCAATCCTGACAGTGCCTGGGTCCCAGTTTGAGGACGGAGGTATCTGCCTCGGAAAGCTTCAAAGGAGTTTAGTGTCTCCTGAAGTGTTGAGCACACCCCTGCAGGAACTGGGCCCCCAGGGAGCACCCTTAGTCCCACACTCTGAATCCACATGGGAGCGCAGGCC